TCTTCCCCCCGCGCCTCGGCAGCATCGCAGCCACCAGCGCTCCAGCCCGGCGAGGGGGGGGTGGGGGGAGTGTGTGGAGGGAGCGCCGCACGCAGACGCCCGCCGGGCCAGTCACGTGACACCAGAACGCCGGAAATCGGGTTCTGAAGGTCACGTGAAATGGGGCGGGAAAAGGCACCATGCTGAGAAGGTCGCGCACGGGGCACCGCCGCCCATAGCGAGGAAACAGGCCTGTGTCCTCCGCCATATTGGGAAGGGCAATGATGGGGCGAAAACGGACAGCTGAACGGGGCAGTGACAGGAACATGCCTGAGACAGGAGATGCGCCATGATTGGAAGGTCAACGAAGAAGGGCAAACGATATTTGGAAGGGCGGTTTTCGCGCAGGAAGGAATGCTGCTGTCAGGTAAAGAAACGCAAGATGGAGCGGGTGGGGCATGGCGGCCGCCCTATTGGTAAGGTCACTAGCGGGGTGGTGATGCCGCCATATTGGGAAGGGCAAACCCAATGAATGGCTCCATGTTGAAAAGGACAGTTATGGCGGGAGAGTGCCAATGCTGGGCGCCATGTTTGGAAGGTCAATTGCAGTGAGAACTAGACTATTGTGAAGCCAAAACAAAAAAGTAGCCAATAGAATGGTCTTCTCTTGAGATACGTTTTAGTAGCTAAATTCCTGGACTGTCATTGCTCATTAAAGGTGCTGTCCTGTGCAGGGGCAGCCCTAGACTAGCTGCCAGCAACTGGCGCCCTAGGCGGACCATGCAATCGGCGCCCCCCCTCCAAACCCATCAATGATATTGCACCACCATTTGGCTCCCCATCTGACTTGGCACCCTGGGCGACCACCTAGTTTGCCTATATGGACGGGCAGCCCCTGGTCCAGTGGGTAGAAATCCGGTAAATATTGAATTTTATTAATGTCAGCAGAACTGACTCAAATGGGGCCTGTGTGTTGTGGAGTCATGCCTTAATCTTTGTATTCGGTGTGAAAGCAGCTATTTGCATATATTTGCATATATATTTGCACGTATATGCAGCCACCCTTAAGTTGCAGCCCTCGGCATGTGCTGTGAGTATCACTGTGGCCCTGGGAGCTTCCAAGGTTGAGTAGCCCTGCTCTTGGGTGTGTCATGCCAGCCAAAGACCAAGAGATTGCTCACTTCCCAGATTAGATTTTTTTTTTGGGTGGGAATCCTTTGTTCTACACCCCACCCTCCTTCCATGGAAAATTACCAGGTTAAACTGGTATACCAGTATAAACTGACTTAGTCACATGTCTTTCCAGAACTAACCACTGCTCAAAACTCAGCTGATCACCCAGTTCTTAAGGTTGCCAGAGCACTGGAGACACCCTTGGTGACTTTCATTTGCACATTTAAACCCATAAAAAAATCCATACCCCATATTTCTAAGTTTACATACAAGAATGATTCATACACCAAAATAAGACATTCAGATCCAGCAGACTGTGACATTAAAATTGATAGCTTATATTAGGTATTTTGTCCAAAGCATTATGCATATTTGTATTCGTAAGATAATTTCATACACCATGGGGGAGTGAACCATCACAAACATTGTCACCTATTTCATTGCCCAAGACACAAATCCATCCTAGAAGGTTTCAGTTCCTTCTAGAACAGCGATCGGCAACCTAAGGCACCTGACAGAACCAAATATGGCCCTTTTGGCATACAACACGTGGCAGGCAGCTGCTGGAGCGAAAGATGGGTTGCAGTGCGGCTGCTCCTGGGACCAGGGTCGAGGTGTACCAGCTCTGGCAGCTCTTGGGGCGGGACGTGTGGTGGATGGCTGCCGGAGCTGAAGCCGGTCTGCTGTGAGGCTGCCTCAGCAGCTGCCACTCCTAGCAGAGCCATGTGCTGGAGCTGCACTGCAACTGCTCCTGGGCCTGAGACCACAGTGCAGCCCCAGCACACAGGGCAGCTGCTCACCACACAGTCCTGCCCCAGGAGCAGCCAGGCAGACACCACGTGGCCCTAGCCCCAGCTTCAACCCTTCCCCAGAACACACAGGGGAAGGCCATGAACCCCTGCCGCCCAGGACATGCCGGGGATCTGCAAACAATGGCCTGGAAGACTCCACCCATCCCATGACCTGTTGGGGGGCCACAAACCACTGCCTGAAACACCCCCCCCCATCTGCAGGACAAACTAGGGGCTGTTAATCACAGCCTGGTAGCCTCTCTATCTCCAAGAGATGCTCCCAACCACAGGAGACATGGAGTCATAGACCAGGAACCACAACCCAGCATTCCTGTGCCCCAGGACACACTGAGGGAGGGCCAGAAACCATTGCCCCCCAGAGATGCTGGGGGCCCAGAAACCGCCATCTGCCCCCTCCACTGGAAGGGATGCCAGAGATTCAGAAACTGTGCCCCCCCTCTCTATCTCCAAGAGATGCTCCCAACCACAGGAGACATGGAGTCATAGACCAGGAACCACAACCCAGCATTCCTGTGCCCCAGGACACACTGAGGGAGGGCCAGAAACCATTGCCCCCCAGAGATGCTGGGGGCCCAGAAACCGCCATCTGCCCCCTCCACTGGAAGGGATGCCAGAGATTCAGAAACTGTGCCCCCCCCGAAGCAGCACCATCTTAGCTGCCACAGGCAGCCTTGGTAAACCCTTCCAGACTCCTGCTCTTCACGCTACACTCCCTCTGAACTAAGCCCCACCATGTATCCAACCCCTCCCCCCCCACACACACTCTCTCTCTCTCTTCACTCCTGCATCCCCACCTCACCATGAGTCCCCTAGCCACTGCCCTGACTCCAGCACCTCCATCCTGTGCCCTAGCCCCCCAAATCCTGCCCTGACTCCTGCAGCCCCCCCCCTTGCCCTTAGTCCCACCACACCCTCAAACCCCTGCCCTGACTCCTGCATTCTTATACAGCTCTTTGTTGACCACTTGTTCTGAATGTTGATGTAGTTTGGCTCTTTGGTTTGAAAAGGTTGCCGACCCCTATTCTAGAAAGATGCAGCAATGCAGTGAAGCATCCTAATGTTACACTTGGAGATCAGCTTCTCTATGAGTGCTGCACGCTTTCCCTGCCCCTCTGACTCCATGCAATGCATTGTCCATGTGTGGGTCCAAGCAATGTTCCCTCCATTTGTTTCCATCCATGGGCAGAATAAGTATTATGTGCACTGAGCCATGTGCACCACCAGTAGAAACACATGGGCAGAAATGAGCTGGGCAGCATTTGAATCTCTCCTCAGTTCAAGCTTACAAGGAACATTGGATCCAACCCCTATTACGAAACATGATGCTGCAACTTTAGGTGGAGTTGATATGACACTAGTTGCCATCTGCTGATACATTGAGGTAATTGCATTCAGTCACCTTTCCTCAGGCTTGGGGGAGGATTGTGAGCACATTCCCAGAACAATGGAGGTGAAAAAGAACTTTTTGAAGACAACCAAGTTGAGTTTTTGTTCCAGTAAGAGTGAGTGAGAGAGAGAGAGTGTGTGCGTGGCCATAGACTCCTTGCATAGGAGTCTTTCATAATGCAAATCTAAATCAATGAAATATAAATAAATCTAATGAGTTGCTCTGTAGTCAGTGTCCACAATAACAAACAAAGCTAGGAAAAGTGCATGGCCAAATTCACCTCTGGTGTAACGTGACAGATTTAAGGGGATTTGCACCAGAGATTTTTTTCAGCCCATTATATCTAATCTGTGCACCAGAAATTCAGGTGAGTCCAGTGAAATAACAACAAGAGGCACAGAAGGGCCTTCAAATTAGGTTCTGTCCCCTGCATTTACAGATAAACGCCATTCTGCTTGCAGTATGTAACGCTACACCAGCCTTTGGAGCGTTGCTGAGAGCCCAGTGATGCCAAGAGGCTGAGTGACCCGAATTCCCCTTTGACTTCACTGGGAGCCAAAGACATTCAGCCCCTTGCAAGATCAGGACCTACATTCTTGCCCCAGTGATGCATCCCAAGCGCTGATGGAGTTGGAGTTTGTTACCACTGTTTGAATTAGTTAATTTTAAACCACTGTTCAAAGGGTTCTTTTGAAACCTTGGCACCACTGGAGCGCTATCAAGGGAAGAGGAGTAAATATAAGCTCTCCCGGATGTTATAAGTTATTTTTCCAGGAAACTGAAGGATTAATGGTTTGTGGAATGTTACAGTGTGACTGCCCCTTGGCGGGCAGTGATTCTGAACTACCGATCAACCTCTAGCATTCAAAGCATGAGCTGGATTTAAAGCTCATAGGTGAGGACTGTGACAACACAATCCATATAGACCACACAAAGAAGGACCAAGAACATAGGAATGAAAAGGCTCTCCTGGGTCATCACAGGCAACTTCATTATCTAATCCCTGTAACATACTTAGGAGTCAGTTACATCACTATTTTCAAGTCAGGAGACTTCACCAGTGTTAGACAAAGGGCACCCGGAGGGGGAGGAGGCTAGGCTCAGGGCTGGGGCAGTTCAGGATGGGAGGCATGCCCCAGCCAGCCCTTTTCACCTGCCTAGTGAGTCTGTTTCTTTTCTGTATGGTTTTATGTGTCCCCATACACCAGTGGTCCCCAACCATTTGGGGTTGCCGGGCGCCAGGGGGCGTGGCCGTTCGCCCGCTGGGCGCCCGGGGGGCGGCCCCCCCCATATCCGCATGCCCGGGGCCGGCGCTGG